TATTAAAAAGGTTAATATAATTACAATATTATAAAACATATTATAATATTACATAAAAAATATTAATATTTTAATTATAATATAATTAAAAATTACAACTATATTATAATATATTATAATATATTATAACTAATATATTATATAGTGTAATATACGAGAATATATAATAATATTATATTTATAATATTATATTAATATTTAATTATATTAATTGTTATATTATTATTAATATAATAAATACAATTATATCAATATAATAAAATGTAATAATATTATTGTAATATTATTAATATAATAAATAATTATATCAATACAATATAATACATAATATATGATAAAATAATAATATTAGAGTTATTAATATAATTATGATATTATTTGTTACAATATTACTATTATATTATATTATATTATATTACGAGTCTGAATTTTAGATTGAGAAGATTGTAAATTTTAAATTTCATTAGGGGTATTATGGTATTATGAAAGTTTTATTAATTGTACTATGCTGATTCCCGCACAATTTAAAAGCCAAAGTTGTCTTTAGGTTGCTTCTGATTTTGGTTGTAGATCTTGAAAAAGTCTTCAAAAAGCACTTTTAACGAGATTTACCAAACACTAAAATCAGTTTCTGCTACAAGCAGAAGCTGATTTTAGGAGGGAAAATCAATACTAAACTAAGCCTTAATGTCTCAATAGAAAATGACATGACTCTAATGTCCTTCATCCAACTGTTGAATTCTTAACGGAGAACTCCGCGAGATTTTAAAATCGACGTGCAAAAAGATTAATTTAATATAGTTCCACAGATGAAGGAATTGTTAACAGATATTTTAAAAATTATGGACTAAAATGTTATAGTCCAAAACATGTTAGAGTATTGCAAAACAGCTCAATCGTAGATAACGAAAATTCTAATTTAAATGTAAATATCTAGATAATTCAACCATATATCTGGACTCTGGAGTGGTTTGGGGAAGTAAAAGTTTGCATAAAACACAAAAGTATACATTTTTAATGTTAAGAACTAAAAATTCGAACAAAGAAAAAAAGAAAAAAAAAACACTATACAGATTAATCAATATGGTTGATCAATTAACAGATTTATATTCGATACACGTACAAACTCTTTTCTTGTTTTCCCTTTTTTTTTTTTTTTTTTTGTAACTATCCAATTTTGTGCCCGCTTATATTTAATAAAAACGCAATGCTTGCTGAACCTTTCATTCCTTTTATTGAAACTCCTTGGATCCTTTTATTCGAGAGGTGCATTTATTGTTTCACAAAATTCTCAAATAAAACAATTTTATATTAAATTTTCTTCAACGCTACTTCGGTAAAATCCAAGAATTTTAGAGAGATGCTTTTATAAAGTGAAATTGTAAAAATAACTTTAAAAGGCACTTCTATTTATGAGATTTATAAAGCAAATAGATGCTTTTTTGCGTTTATTGGAAATATTATTCTAAGAAAAACACAGGAAACATTTACGTAATTCAATCATATATCTGGACTCTGGAGTGGTTTGGGGAAGTAAAAGTTTGCATAAAACACAAAAGTATACATTTTTAATGTTAAGAACTAAAAATTCGAACAAAGGAAACATTTACGTAACTTTTCTCTAATAATAATAAGAGTAAATTTTGTTTGGCAGAGAGTTCCATATCTAACTGAAGTTGTTCCTTCTGCAGATAAGTGAGCCTTTCATAAATGAATTTTTGAAGCAAGGTGGAATTAGATGTTCCAGCGCAGTGGAGGCAGGAAAAGGTAAAGCGATATTTTGACTGTTTCCAGACCGCGTTTGAAGTTGGTTAGAAATTTCTTCACTTAACTGGCTGTAGTCACCAACTCGGTCTTCACATGTCCATAAGATTGTATGCATATTCCTAGTTTTATTTCTTTATTTTAATTATCTATATGTTCAATTGTCGTTTTGCCCAAACTAACAGATGGCTAATGCACATTGATATTTGTACATTTTTGGAAATCTTTTTCATTGACGCAATAGCTGTGTTTATGTTGTAGGACTCTAACTTGCTAAAAAAGCCGGGGAGAAATGGATGTTCTTATTAATGCATTTTGCTTTCTCTATTCCCGTTCTTGCAGATGTTGTGGCTTTAGTTGTGTTAATATCTAATGCAGAACATATTGATGAAGTAATTCTTGGCAACGACGGTGCTTTAAAAGGTCTTATAAAGTTTCTCTTCAAACTACATCCAATGTATTACTCACTGATTGGTCAATGTGCAAGATACATAAACTTAATGGATATGCAGGTCTGCCAAAGGATGCTGTCTTCATTCTTCATTCGACCTTATTGCCATCGTACATCCAGAGACTGGAGAAGTCTTTTACAGGCAATTTTTTAGCTTTACATAGTAAATTATATAGATAACAACTTGTTGAGAGATTGTTTTGGCGAAAAAAAAACCTTCTTGAGAGATTGTGTTTACACAAGGCAAGTTCATCAGAATTCAGAAAATATCTTTCTATCTGATGCCTTTTCTCCCTTAACTTTCTGAGAAGGCCTTTTCTTATCCAAGTAAAAAAGGATATAAAAAATTGAAATAAGGTGTCATCTCCTCTCCTTCCACGATATCTCTAAGTTTTTCTCTGCTTAGGGCACTTCAAAAATAACAGATCTCATGTTCTCTTGTGAGGCACTTGCCCTCACATATACAGGAACTGTACAAAGTAATCCCATTGTTGTTTCTTTTTTATTATTTTTTCTTTTGGCTAATCATTCTCTTTTAAAGCTGTTGTCTTGTTCTGTTCAGAGAAAGCTGTGAATTTTACTTGGTTGATTTGTTGTATCAGGATTCAAAATCTGTAGGTAGATATTTTAGCTGAACATGGTGCTCAAAATGTTTTAAACTTTAATCTTGTCCTCTATACACATGATTTCTTATTTTGTTTTGTTAATGACAAGTGCTCTCTTGCAGCTCTTTTATGTGTGTTGCTTAATCTTATCTATGCAGTATTATCGTGCAGCGAATTATTCTAATACCATGAAGTAAATTTATGGCTGGGAAATGAAAGTGTTCTGAAAAAAATTTTCTTCTTCACTCTGCCTCCTTGATACATTTTCTTTGCATAACGCTTCAGGGGCCAATTATGTGGCTCAACTGAATTCCTTCTACAGATACATCCATATCTTTTGAATTTTAACCTGATATTCACCTGTTCATTTATCTCACAGATAAATATGAGACCGCCTATTTTGTAGATGCTTATGTTGCTAAGGGAATGTCTGAAGTATTGGATGGAAAGATTTTGGTAATTCTATTCTTCTCTAGCGGTGGACGTGTAGTTTGTTTGTCTCCTTTTATGTAGCTTGTCTGAAATCCGAAAGAGTGCTGATGAAATTTTAATTGTTTAGATTACTTCTTCAGGAAGATCAGATGCAATTGCAAGGGCACGACCTGTTCTCTCTGGTAATGGCCGTTCTAAACTGTAAATTTTATATAACGATTGTTCTCAACCTTTATTTTTATGTTGCTGTATTATTTGTTCTTTTATTTATTTATTTTTTCCCTTTGGGTGATTGCAGCAATGTGTGAGAAACTTTACATTTTTGAGGGCAACGTTGGTGCTGGAAGGTTTGCTTTTTTTCTTGATTGCACAAATTCTTTCATCGCCAGCAAGAGTTTAACTATTATTTATTGATTGTCAAGGCTGCACTAAAATGTAATTTAGTGGGATAGGTATTTTAGTTTTTTGGAATAAAGCACTGCTCGCTATATGGTTATGGAGATTTCCATGGGAGAGTGAATCGCTTGGCATAAAGTGATAAGAGGGAAAATATGGAAGCACATTGGGTGGTTGGTGGTCAGGGGTCAACAATAGAGTGACATTTAGATGCCCTTGGAAGGCAATTCAAGAAGTAAAAGTTGAGTTTTCTGCCAATGTTAGTTTGAAGGTGGGGGATGGGAGTAGAGTGAGATTTTGGGAGGATGTTTGGGTTGGAGGGACTTCCTTTTCTAATCAGTTTCCGGGACTATATAGAATTTCCAGTGTCCAAAATGAATCAATTCTTTCCTTTCATTCATGTGATGTTGATAATAATTCATCATGGAATTTTCATCTATGTAGGGATCCTGGGGAAAGAGAAATGGAAGAGGTCACGGAATTATTGGGTATCCTTGTGAAAGAGAAATGGAAGAGATCACGGAATTATTGGGTTGCTTAGAGGGGTAAGATTGAGTGGTCTTAACTCTGGTAGGTGGGAGTGGGATTTAGAGAGTTTGGGCCCGTTTTCTTGTAAATATTTTTTCAAGTTCTTGTCAGATAACCAATCATTCCCTCCACTTCAGTTTTCTCAGTTCATTTGTAAATTCTTGGTTCCTGCTAAAGTTAAAGTGTTTAACCGGCTACTTGTGTTAAGTAAACTGAATACTCAGGACTTGATGCAAAGGAGGAAACCATATCTCTATCTTTCTCCTAGCTGGTGTGTTCTTTGCAGGGAAGCTAGCGAGTCTCCGGATAATATCTTCCTTCATTGCCCCTTTTCCCTGAATATTTGGAACCGAGTGCTACGGGAATTTGGTTTTTCATGGGTAATACCAAAGAGGGTGGTGGATCTTTTCAATGGTGATTTCATGTAGGAATCTTTGGAATGTTGTTGTATTAGCCGTCACTTGGTCATTGTGGCTAGTAAGGAACTATAGAATATTTGAAGACACTCAGGAGGATAGTAAAGTAGTGTGGGATAAATTATTGTACTGGGTAGCCTTATGGCTTTATCAAACTAAAGGCTTTCCTTAGGTTTTCTTTTGCAGATCTGTTAAGCGGATGGGACTTGGTTTTTCAGTAATTAGGGCTGTTCAGTTTTAACTTTTCTTTCTTGCTTTAGTCTATCATTTTTGTGTTTCTGTTTCTGTTGGTGGACTCCTTGTCCCCTCTTTTCATTAATAAAGTTCTTTCGTTTCTTATAAAAAAAAAGGCTGCACTAAAATGTGTTTTTCTGATGGTTCTCGTTTATTTACTTTATTTATTAAAAAAAAGTTTTATGCATGGTATGCTAGCGTGCGTTATCTCACTTTGTTTATCTTTTATGTGTAAGGAGTGAAATTGATGTATGTTACTTGAGTTGATGCAATATTTCTATAATATGCTTTTTTGAAGAAAACATTTACATGAGATGCTAACAATTTAGTTATGTCTAATGTTATAGGTTTTGGATTATGACCACAAATATCTCATCTTTCTTTTTCTTTTTTTTTTTCCCCTTTAATTCTGCAGTAAAATTAATATGGTCAATGAACTACTTGAGGGTATTCATCTTGTTACTTCTATGGAGGCAATTTCACTTGGTGCCAAAGCGGGAATCCATCCGTTGATAGTCTATGATATCATTTCCAACGCTGCAGGGAATTCATGGTACATAGTTATGCTTGCAGATTATCCTTTTTCTGTCTCCTGTCGTCTTTTCATGCTCCAATGTCAAAATGAGTTGATTAAGAGCATATTCAAAAGCTCTTAAGTGATATTTCGTAAAGTTGTTGGGAAAGTGAATAGGATACCGCTTTCTCGAATTTTTTTCTCTCTGATTTTTGCATATGGAAAAGAAGGCATTCAACTTAAAAATAGTCAGTCAATTATGTTGATGTGCTATGATGTTTCCGAGTGAAGTAGTTTATATGATGTTTCCGGTTAAAAACTTTTGAAAATTTAGAGTTATAGAAAACAGCCGTTGTGGTGGTGCTGATGTCTTTTAAAATATGAAACAAATGTTAGGTCATAGCCTATCTTTGGTTTTTGATAAGAAAAATGAATTTTTTGAAAATGAACATATTAAACAATTACCAAAGAGGATAAGGTATCCTCACTGCTAGAACAGAAAGTGAAAAATATATCCTCGTAGGGCAACAAATTAGAAGCCTATCACATCTTTCCAGTTCAAACCAACCAAAGAGAAAGGAAAGCCCTTAAAAGCTTTGTCAGAAGACGCCCGTAGGGAGGCTGTAAACTTTGCTTTCTCAAAGAGATCAATGATATCCATTTCCTGATCATCAAAAATCCTTGCATTTCTTTCCAACTATAGAGTCCATAAAACTGACAGCACCATACTCTTCTATAGCACTTTAGTCATCTTGTTCAGCTCCAATGCTGCTAAATCTTCCTTCAAAACCAAACTGCAGTGAGCTGGAAATACCCGAGATAAGCCGATTTCTAATAATAATTTTTGCCAGACCGACCTTGCCGCCAGCGGACAATGTAACAATAGGTGGTCAATGGATTCATCACTGCCTCTACAAAGAACACACCAAGAAGGGGATAAAACCCTATGGGGGTTCCTTTTTTGCACCAAGTCGCAAGTATTCAATTTCCCAAGCACAACCAACCAATTGAAGACTTTAATTCTATAGGGGACACATGATTTCCATATGAATTGAAAAGAGTCGAAATCCGAAATTTCAGGTCTATCCACTAAGGAAGGGAAAAAAGAAGGACATGAAAAACCTTTAGGATCAGACAACCAAACTCTTTGGTCAGGGCTAGAAAGCTGAAAATGGGAAGAATTGATTAATTGAAGTAGAGAACACAAATCCTTTGCTTCCCTATCATTGAGACCTCTTCTAAAAACAAGATTCCAATTCAGATCACCATTATCAGATTGTGAGCGTATTTGTGCAATAGAAGCATTAAATCTGAAATTCTAAATAGACGATGTAACAAAATTTTAAAGACTCATTCTTAGACCATTTATTTATCCAATACAAAATTTTAGTCCATTCTCTCTCATTTTTGTATTTTGAAGGAAAACAACCAGCCCCTGAGAGATGAATGTCCATGGATTTCTAAAAGATCCCTGAGTTACTAGGTTCGAGTCCCAACCATTTAATTTCAACCCATATTTACTCTTGATGACTTTAGCCCATAGAGAATTTTGTTCCGAAGGAAACCTCCATAACCATTTCCCTAACAAAGCCAAATTCTTCTTCTTTAGATTCCCAATCCCCAGACCGCCCTTCTCCTTACTTCTTGACACGACATTCCAAGCCACCAGACTTCTTGGTTTATCACCCTCTTGATTTTCGTAAAGAAGATTTCATATCATTCTTTCCAACATATCCACTACCAATCCAAGCATCCTAAACAAGGACACATAGTAAATAGGAATACTTGCAAGGACGGATTGGATTAGGGTTAATCCCCCACCCTTTGATAATCTTTTCCCCACCTTTTCAATGACAGGTGACCAGAATTCTATTGACAACGCATTTCCTCCCAATGGCAAACCCAAATATTTCATGGGCCATGCTCCCACTTCTCACCCCAAGGCTGCCACAACTTCTTGGATTAAGGCCTCCTCTAAGTTGATCCCCACCAATGTGCTTTTCCCCATATTAATTTTTAATCCCGAAAATGAAGTGAAGAACATTAAAATTGCATTTACCTTCATGATGTTACTTAAACTTGTGATAAGCCTAATAAGCCTTTGCTTAAACAGGTGTATGTTCAGAAAGGCAAGAGGGACGAATAGGTTACGGGGCTGAGCTAGTGTTAGTGGTTGGTAGTGTGAATGCTGAGAGTTGTATAAGGGAGTGTGTATAAATAGGTAATC